CAGTATTACTGTCTATAGTCCCTGTGCTGGACACTACATCCTCATGATTTATTTATTTTATAACTGGAAATTTATTCCTTTTGATACTTTCACCCATTTTGCCCACCAACCAAACCCCCCTCTCCTCTGGCAACCATCAATCTTTTCTCTATATCTAGGAGTCTGGTTTTGTTTTTTCATTTGTTTTATTTTTTAGATTTCATATATAAATGAAAATGTACGGTATTTGTCTTCCTTTCTCTGTCTTATTTCGTTTAGCATAATACATTTAAGGTCTATCCATGTTGTCACAAATGGCAAGATTTCATTCTTTCTTATGGCTGAGAGGTATTCAGTTGTGTGGTGTGTATGTGTGTGTGTATGTAACATTTGCTTTAGCCCTTCATCATTGGTGGACATTTAAATTGTTTCCATGTCTTGGGTATGGTAAATAAAGTTGCAATGGATATGAAGCTGCAGATATCTCAATTTTTTGAGGAACCTCCATATTATAGGGTTGAGCCAATTTACATTCCCACCAACAGTATATAATGGTTCCTTTATCTCCATATCCTTATCAACACTTGTTATTTCTTATTTTCTTGATGATAGCCATTCTGACGAGTGTGAGGTCATATTTCATTGTGGGTTTGATTTTTATTTCTCTAATTATTAATGATGTTGAACTCTTTTTCATGTACCAGTTGGACATTTGAATGCCTTTCTTGGAAAAATGTTATTTAGATCACTAAAATGTTTATTGGGTCCATTTGGTCCAAAGTATAGTTCAAGTCCATTATTTCTATTTAATTGGATTATTATTAGTTTTTTGCTTTACATACTATACAATATCTATTTCATCCCAGGTATTTATTCAAACCTTCTCTAACCTCCACCAAATTATGCTTGTCTTTTGTTCATTAGTCTCATGTCACCTTGTTCTTTTCCTTTATGAATTCTTAGAGTTTATAATTATACATTAGTGGAATTTTATATATGTATATTTCTTCCCACTGAAATGTAAATTCTGTGAAAACAATGAATGTATCTTCTTTTACATTATTTTAATACACACAGAACATAGCATGGTATGTATCACAGCACTGGTATTCAATGACCATTTTTATTTTTGCATTACTAATTAAATTAGTGTATATATTAACAAATTTGGGGCTTAGGTCAGCCAATAATATAGTGAACATTACTTTGGTTTCCTTTACTCTTATTTCTTGTGACATACATATTCTTTTGTGTTACATTTCTGGGAGGTCAGTGGTCTGGAGGAGGATTTGGTTACTCACATTTTCCTAACTGGGAAAAAATGAGGGAAACCTTCAAAACCAAAGTAACTTCAAAAGAAAGCCTCTCTGTGTATTTTATTTTTTTTTGTCTTTCTTGGAATATTCTTGAAAAAATGTTGTGTTATGGAAAATTTCAACTATATATAGTAGTGAAGACAATAGTGCCATGCAATATGACTTTAATAATTATTAATTCATCGATAATTTTGTAAACCCACATACTTAATCTTACACATATCCTGGATTATTTTGAAATTACCTTACACATCATATCATGTTCTTGATGAATATTTTATTATAAAAATCTAAAATATAATGACTTTTTAGAAATATAACATTGCCATTACCACCCCTAAAATTAGAAAAAATAATTCTAATACAGTCAGTGTTCAATTTTTGTGATTGTCTCAAAAGAATTTTTAATAGTTGTTTTGTTCGAATATGCATCCAAACAAAGCCTAACATTTGATTGATATGTATTCAGTACTTTTTAATGTGAAGTTTTTCTGTTTTCTATTTTTCTTGCAAATTATTTGCTGAAAAAATGTGATTTTCTAATTGTGTATTTTAAAATAGTATGATATTAATATTAAATATTAATAAAGTCACACTTATGTACACAACCAGAAATAGTTCAAATAACTCAAATAATTTTTTTCAGAATCATATTTTAATATCATGAGGATTGATATCTAACTTTGTTTATAGTAATGTCATATGGTGATCCTTTTTAACTTTTAGCTGATAGAATGAAATTATTGCTCTTTTCTTAAGAAACAATTTTAATTCCATTTTAAAATTATTGAAGACTTTATGAATGAATCCCCTTAATAAAAGGCAACTTCCATTAAATTTGTTTTTGTCAGTATTTCTTGGGAAAGAGTCTGAGTAGGTCAACATTTGTCTATTCCTGGAACACTAGTCGTGAGATTTAATATAACTCTTAGAATAACACACACACACTCACACACACACTCACACACACACACACACACACACACACACACACAATGTCCAAATTCCTGGGTTCTCACCTCGTGAGTCATTTAAGTTTATATAACATTAATTTGAAAGCCTAGTGCCAAAAACTCTTCCTGAGTACATTTGTGCATTTTCAGGTGATCTATTTTTTTATAGTAAAATTTCTATTTTATACATTTGATACCTTAATTGCTAACATTTTCTGTTTTATTTTTTAAAAGATTGTTTATTTATTTATTTTTCAGTAAAAGGAAGCACACAAGCAGGGGGAGTGGCAGGCAGAAGAAGAAGGATACCCACTGAGGAAGGGACTGGGTGAGGGAACTGATCCCGGGACCCTGGGATCATGACCTGAGCCAAAGGCAGATGCTTAACCATTTAACTGACTGAGCCACCCAGGCATCCTGCTGCTTTTTGTTTGTTTGTTTGTTTTGTTTTGTTTTTTAATACACTTTATTTTATAGTAGTTTTATGTTCATAGCAAAATTGAGTGGAAAGTACACAGATATCCTTGTCCCCACTAAGCGCAGCTTCCCCTACTATCAATATCCCCTACCAGAGGGGTATATTTATTACAGTTGATGACACTACATTGACAGATTATTATCACCCAAAGTTCATAGTTTACATTAGGGTTCATTTTGGTGTAGATTCTGTGTGTTTGAATAAATGTGTAATGGCATGTGTCTGCCATTATAGTATCATACAGAGTAGTTTCACTGGCCTAAAATCATGTGTTCTATTACTTATATTTTCATGATAACCTCTGAGCCAAATTTATCAATTCCTAGCCTGAATTTTTAATTATTTTCTTCTTTCTACCCCACAGGTAGCCTTTTCTCCTTGAATCTTTCCCACTTCCCCTCAAAGTAAACATGCATAAGATCGCTTACATATAACATACTTTGTCAAAAAATTTATATGCCATAATGGGGGAAATACATCTTTTATTAGAGATTGAAAACCAAAAGTCAAATATTTCAACTTTTTGTTCTAATAATTCTTTTAACAACCCTCCACCAGTGATATGTCACTGACTGCTATACTCTATCTGTTCTCTTAGCTTAACACAATCTCAATATCTCAGAGTTTCTGAAAAAAAATCCTCTCATTAACTCATGAAAAGAAATTAATTCATAGCTGCATTTTTGAATCTCCTACATCATTAAAGGACTCAGAAAAACAGAAATCCTTTCTATATGATATGATCCATCCTTTTTAATAAATTAATTATGGATAGAACTAGCAATGTTTTCTTATGTATTTGTACAGCCTAAATATCAAGATTTTTCAAAGTGTGTTGAAACTGCAAGAAAGTATTATCACTTCTCTATTATGGATAAGAAATATATAACTCAGAATATATTTATTCTGTGTTATCATGTTTAAAATACTAGCTATAAATTGCTAAATCCTGAATTGAATTTAGGTTTCTTTCCATCAAACTATGAAGTATCAACTATTGTATGAAAATTATGTTTTTTTCTCCCAATTATACTTTAAGCTCATTCATGCAGGGAGGCATGGACAGGAACAGCCTCATACATTTCACAGCAATTCCATAATAGTGTGTTAGATAAAATGTATGGACACAGCAGGTACAGAGTGAAAAGACCAGGGCAAAATTATGCCTAAAACAATTTCAAAGGGCAAAATGACTCCAAGTCAAGTGACATACACATTCAAGAGTAAAGTCGTGGACACACTCAGGAAAGCCAGGGAATTCCATCTGTAGATCCATTTCCTCTGCCAGAGTTTGCACTAGGAGACAATGAACCTAGAAGAAGATGCAGCATCCATAGCTGCCAGTACATTATCTCCACCATGTTGTCCCTCCTGGGATTTCTCTCCTATAGGCTCATTCTTTCCTTGACCAGGAGGGGTGAGGGGTGAGAGACAGGGGGCTGGGGTTATTGGAGTGTTTTGCTAGGGTGCACAGGGCTACATGGGGATTCACTGATCTAAACTGATCTGCCTAGAAACATCCTGCAGCTATATTCACTCTAGTGTCCCTGACATGCCATGGTGGTACAGGAAAGTCTCTGTGCTTATCTAGCAGGGGTTCATGTAGCAGGTGAGGCAAACTGCACCTGTGTTCTCAGAAACTTAAATACTCCTGTGGTTTCTACTCCCATTCCTCTTCCTGTTGCTACTATCCCTAAGTAAAAATAAAGTATTTGGTTCTTCTTAGATATGGACCTTATGTTCTTATTCTAACCTCTCCTGACTGACTTCCATTTCTTTTCCTGCCTAAAGAATTCTTATCTTCTCCTGGATGAGTAAGGGAGAGGAATGCTGGTCCTACTATCAATCATTCTTCACAAATTGAAATTTTCAAGTTTTGGAAAACAATTTTGACTTTTGGTACTTTGAAATTCAAAATTCCATTATTCCAACTTATTTCTCTGTCATAACTTTTAAAAACTATATTAAATGAGTATGAGCTTATTTCTTCATTTTTGTATTTCTTCTATAAAGAGTCTATACAGAGGACACAGTTCTAATATTACTTTCATTAATGTCTGAATTGGGAAGAGAGTGGTAGTGCCCCAGTGTGGGAATAATAGGAAGAGAAAATATTAACATCAGCTATAATATCAAAATATTATCAGTCTATACTTGCTTGATCCCGTGTAACTGGCCATGAAAATAATCTGGAAAGTGAGATTAAGTGGACCTGAGGCATAAGGGGCCACAGCTCTAGTCAGCCCTGAGATGACAGACAGGAAAGTTTTACTGAAAGATCTCATAAAGGGAAATTTATTATTTCCATGGGAATAATGGATCAGGGTTACAAAGAATCAGGGAACTGGATGGACTATCCCAGACAGCTCACTGTAGGTAACAACTGAGAAAAGAAAAAAAAAAATCAGGCATTCAAGGGACAGAATTCCAAAGGGCATGTGAGCTCTCAGAGGATATAGGAGGACCTTAAGTTCCAGAAAAGAGGTGAGAGGAGGAGCATTGGAGAGAGAAGGAATACGGTGAGCTGGACGAGGCAATAGTGCCAGGTCACCTATCAAGTCCACTCTTCTGCTCTGGTCGGCGGACATGCGGTGCTCCTGCAATAGGACAGACATGGGGTGGTTGATCCTAGGGGGCTCCTGTGCTGTCATCATGCCCTCCCCCAGACTCCTACAACCTTTCAACCGTATCTGTGTCCACAAATTCCTCCCAGTTTCCTTCCTCCTGTGCTGTGTCTCCAGCTCTCAGCTCTGACAAATCTGAACGCTTACCTTCCTTTCTAGGGTGCGGCTCACAAGGGTCCTTGATGTCTGGAAGCACTGCTTGAGCGCAGGCCTTGGATAATGAAGACTGTGCCCACCACAATGCCCACAAGGCCCACAGCCAACCCCAGGGCACAGACCACAGTCTCTGTCAGCTCTGACATAGGGGCTGGAATTTCAGGTTCTGTGAAAATGAGGTTGTGGACGTCAGAAGACAGAGTGTTGGTTCATGTACATGTGTGTGGGTTGGAGCAGGAGGAATGGTTTTTGTTCTATGAGGACTTAGGGCACCATGGTTAAGGAAGAGGGTGAAGTCTATTATTTGAAACCTTTAAGGTATAGAAAACATGAGATTCACAGGCTCAGGGGCAGGATATTCTGAACTTGATAGAGAAAGAAGGTGCCAAGGGGGTGGAATTCATTCATACCCCAGTGCTTCAGAAGTGGTTCATCCAGGCCCCAGTGCTCCACCTTGCAGTCATAAATATCATCAGCAGAAGGGAGGAAGGTGAGGTAACTGAACTTTAGGAAGGAATGATCCTTCTTGGCGAGGAAGCTGGTTTCAGAAACACCTTCTGTGATTGAGTGCCTGTTCTTCAACCACGTGACATTGATCACAGGAGGAAAGATGTTGTCCACAAGACAGATGAGGGTGTTGGGCTGACCCAGACTCACAGGAGACTTGGGAAACAGAGCCATCTCAGGAACCTCTGTGGTGAGGAAGCAGCACTGATATGAATTGCAAAGAGCTCTGCCCTCAGGTTCTGCACTGTGTCCTGCAGAGCCCGTCCACCAACAGTTCTCCATCTGATGGTAGAAGAGTTCTTACTTACCTTCTGCTTGGGAAATGTTATCTACACACTGCCTGTATTTTGTCCTTGTGCCCTTCCCTCTGTGGGCATGCTTACTAAAGTGGTAGATCTATAAGACTTCTCTTTCAGGGGTTCAAGGAACACGGTATGGGAGTTAGGGTCCTTGTATTACATGACAATATTTAAGTTTTGAGATAGCAGATAATGAGTGTTCAGTAATTACTATGAGAAGATCTGGGAAAGATCCTTGGAAAGCAGTCAAGTGTATCTATCATAGGGAGAAAGGGAAAGAGACCTGATATGTAGGGATAGATTCAGTAAAGAGAGGCAGAGTGGTAGATAGTTACCATTGGTAGCAGCGGTATAGTTGTAGAGTTTAATCAGGATGTTCAAGTTTTGTTTTGCTATTGCCAAGTTTCTCATTGCACCTTGTGGGTCAAAACTTCCAAATGTACTAAACACAGGCAGCTGCCAGACAGTTTCCTTCTTCTCCAAGTCCACATAGAATTCCTCATCTCCATCAAATTCATGGGTGAACTGGCCAGAGGGACCATAAGACTGGTAGACATTTATGCCATAGGAAGCAACGTGATCTGTTGGTCAGTAAGGGCGAGGAGCAGGAAGTAGAAAACAGAGGGAGAAAAGAGCCTTATTAAACCAAGTGACAGAAGAAACTGGCTTTCAAATATAGTGGGCTTCATCTTTGGCATAGTCCTTAGGCATATTTCCCAGCACCACCCTCTGCTCCCTCAGTGTTGGTAGTTGTCCAGTTAGAATAAAGTCTGCTTTTCCAGTGTCATGTAGGCTCTACAAGAGCAGAATTACAACAGCCTTGTTACTGCTAATCCCTGTGTACCTAGTTTAGCACCTGGTACACTCAGTAGGTTTATAATAAATATTATAATAAAATGAATGAAGGAATGAATAAATTATCACAGCTTATCTTCCTTTCTCAGAAATTCACTTTCCTTCCCTCAGCTTCATAAATTTTATCTGTTTCTTAATTCTTTCATGAGTTAATAACACATACATTTTGATTCCCCTCCCCACAGGACTGGTTCAGAGCAGAACATTTTCTCTCTCCAACCTTCCTTTCCTTCCTCCTACTCCTCCCCCCTCTTTCTGTTCCTCCTTCTACTTCTTATTTTTCCAAAGAAAAGTACACAGAACCATATTATTTTAAAAGAGTTTCTTAACTATTATAGGGTAAAAGAAATTGTATGACAATATTACAAAGTATATACAAAATAAACAATGCTTCTAAGGTCACTGTTTTAACAATAGTAATCCTCAGAGAAGAGCACTTGATTTCATCAGAAATACAAAGTGTAAGCTTTATTAGATTTTATTTTTTCACTCCCAACTCCCCCCACCCCCCTTTTTTTCCCTTTGAGGAGGTTACTAAACTTCTCTCATTATTCTGACTCAACATTTCTATCTGTTTAGGATTCCAGGCAAACTATGGCCCTTTTCCTCAAATGGACAATGTCCTTGTGTGAGGAAGCCAAAGTAGAATGGCAGCAGTAGGACTCCACTCAGTTGAGGCTAACTGGACAATTTTGTGAAGAAATACACATTGTTGTTGTTGTTTTAAACACTTTATGTTCCTCCTCTTTATGTTCCTCCTCATTTACGGAACATCAGCGAGATGTCAGACATCATGAGGAGCAGGGAGTAAAACACCAGTCACCATGGTTTTCAAGGAGCTTATTGCTGACAGTAGAGCCAAGTGAGTGTGGGAACAACGACAGGAAGCTGTGGTGAGACCCTGAAGGGAACAGCAGCTGTCTTATGGTCCCACTTCCTCCGCAATACCTCAGCAGGCAAACCAAAGTTTGTTATTCATTCATGTTCCTTGGTCTTTGCAGAGGTCTTTCTCCTTGAAACAAAGTTCTCTTTATAGATTTCCTGGACACCTCCAATTCCTTCTCCAAGTTCCTGCTTAGTTACCAACATTTTAGCTAAGTTCTCTCATTGAACACATTTTTTATCACATTATACCCATCAGCACCTCCATCCCAGTGTCTTGCTCTCTGAATTTATCTATACCTCATCCAGCTCACTCTCTTCTCTGCCCAGTATGACCCCCTTGGTTGATTACTTAAGACCCTCCACTGGGCGCCTGGGTGGCTCAGTGGGTTAATCTGCTGCCTTTGGCTCAGGTCGTGATCCCGGGGTCCTGGGATCGAGTCCCACATCGGGCTCTTTGCTTTGGTGGGGAGCCTGCTCCCCCCACCCTGCCCTGCCGCCTGCCTCTCTGCCTGTCAAATTAAAAAAAAAAAAAGACCCTTCACTAAAGCCTCTTAATCCTCTATACTTTATCCTTGACTCCTTTTTCAAATATGCAGTTATTGTTTTCATCCAGTACTTGTCCTGGATTGCCAACCATTGATGAACATCACTCTGCTGGGCCAACTGGAAGCAGTTCACTTTTGTAGTTTCAGTCTCAGCTGAGTCCACAGTCCTGCACAGCAATGGTCCTTCTGCTTTCCTGCACCAGGGGGCAGATAATATGTTCTTTTATCTTTGAATCTCCAAAAGTTATCTCACTGTGTGCTCAAAAGTGTGTATTGAATGTCAATTGCTATTCTTGAGGATCAGAGAAATTTGGGGGAGTAGAGACTGACAGACACAGAAGTAGCAGAACAATATGGAAGTAATCAGTAGTAACCAAGGGTGTATTATGACTTGCAAGCTTAAACACTATCACTTTCACGGGCCCCTTTCTCCATTAAAATATTAAAAATCATATTTTGTGATTGCATTGGTCCAAAGACAAATATAATGCAAACTTAATTAAAAATTAAAATGTCTTCCTGTACTCTAAAAGTTCATTTTTTTCTTTTAAATTTAAAAGAAATTAGAACATTTTCACAGGTGCCCTACAAGCAACACATACTCTTGGGACTGCCCTAGCTGTATCTAATGGGTAAGTTGAGCCTGGCCAGGGCACTCTGGTGTAACACTGAAGAAAGGAAATTAGAAGTTCTCGGAGAAGCAAGTGAAACCACCGAATGAAATTAGAATGGGAGTAGTCATGGTTAACAATGTTGGTGAAAATTAGAGCATGCTCCATTTTACTTAACAATTTATTTTTTCTACTTTGGTTATTATAAGTGAACTTTCTGTGTCAATAAAACAGAAGGAAGCTGTGTGGCTCAGTCTGTTAAGAGCCACCTCTTGGCTTCAGCTCAGGTCATCATCTCAGGGTTGTGGGACCAAGCCCCACATTGGGTCCTATGCTCACTAGGGAATCTACTTGAGATTCTCTTTCTCTACCTGTTCCCACTCATGGGCTGACACTCTCTCTTTCTCTCTCTCTCTCTCTCTCTTTTAAATAAATAAATAAATCCTAAAAAATTAAACAACAAGTATAGGGCTGGGATAGATTCTGGAAGGAAAGGATGATAAAGTAATTCATGAAAAGAATGTGGGAAGAGGTAGACAGTGAAGGTAGAAGAGCTGGAGGGATTAAATAATTAGTGTGTGCTTGTCCAGTTTTCCTCCGAAGGGGTATCCATTAGATAGAATGAAGTATAGGTAATTTGAGTTGACAATTTAAGGATAATATAATTTAATTAATGGAGTTTTTAATCATAAATTTCTCAATTTTTTTAAAGATTTTATTTATTTATTGGATAGAGAGATCACAAGTAGGCAGAAAGGCAGGCAGAGAGAGAGGAGGAAGCAGGCTCCCTGCTGAGCAGAGAGCCCGATGCGGGGCTCAATCCCAGCACCCCAGGATCATGACCTGAGCTGAAGGTAGAGGCTTAACCCACTGAGCCACCCAGGCGCCCCAATTTCTCAATTTTTAAATAAAAATAAAGATATTCTCTACTTTGTTAAAGATAAAAATTATGGACAGCCCAAGTGTCCATCAATAGATGAAGGATAAAGAAGATACAGTGTCGGGGCACCTGGGTGGCTCAGTGGGTTAAAGCCTCTGCCTTTGGCCTGGGTCATGATCCCAGGGTCCTGGGATCGAGCCCCATGTGGGGCTCTCTGCCTAGCAGGGAGCCTGCTTCCTCCTTTCTCTCTGCCTGCCTCTCTGCCTACTTGTGATCTCTGTCAAATAAATAAATAAAATCTTAAAAAAAAAAGAAGATACAGTGTCTATCTATCAGTCATCTATCTATCTATCATCTATTATCTACCTATCTATCATCTATCTATAATGGCATAATATTCAGCCATAAAAATAATAAAATCTTGCCTTTGTAACAACATGGATGGATCTAGAGGCCATAATGTTAAGTGAAATAAGTCAGCCAGAGAAAGACAACTACCATCTGATTTCATTCGCATGTAGAATTTAAGAAATAAAACTAATGAACAAAGAAGAAAAAAGACCAAAAAACAAAACAAAACAAACCAGAATCTTAACTACAAAGAACAAAGTGATGGTTACCAGGGGTCAGGTGGGTGGGGGGATGGGTGAAACAAGTGAAGGGGATTAAGAGTACACTTATCTTGATGAGCACTGAATAATATATGGAACTGTTGAGTCACTATATTGCACATCTGAAACTGTAATATATCCTGGAATTAAAATTAAAAATACTAAGTCACACCTGTAATAGTAACAATTAAGAAACAGGAATGAGCATTGACATTTCTCTTATTTCTTCATTATTGGAAAAGCATTTCTAAATACATATTTTATTTTATTATTTGTGAAGTGACATATATGAGGTCATGTGGTAGAACGACTTGTCTACAGGTATTCATCTGGGCTTGTTTGCCTAGTCCCCCCATGCCAGTTTCCAGCATGAAAATGTGTGCAAATCTGAGACAAAGAAGAGTACACCCTTGTTTTTATCTATATAGTATATATAATTCATGGAACTCTACTCCAAGTGAGACTCAGAAGAAACACATAAAAAGCTTCAATGTTGTTCAGAGACATTTGGAAACAATAGTTCATGAATTTTTAGTAACAAAACATCTACTCATGGAAACATCTCTAATCTTTGGGGCAATCATAAGTGAATGCCATTGAGCCCTGCAGGCTATATTCACTGGATCTCATAGCAGAAAGGAATAATGTCCTTGATGAACTCTGCAACAGTACAGGTAGCAAAGAGGGTGGGTTGGATCTACAGTTTCCTGAAGGAAAGAATGACCATAATTTTCAGACCTGTTTAATATTGAGAACACCTTTGAAATTCTCTACTATTTCTATGCCAATCTCTATCTTTATCTCTTCCAATTCCATTTCCTAAATATAGTAACCACATCCCTCAGCTGTGCACTCACCCACAATGTCTTCACCACCAGAGGGACCCATCATGGTGGTCAGAGTGAGGATCCCCAGAATCATCCTTTTCTCCATGTGATTTCTGAAGTTGCTGTTCTGAGTGACAGAGCAATGGTAAGGACCCAAATGAGAAGGGAATCTAAAGACACCCAAACCAAACCCTGCTAGGTCAGGTTCTCGCCAATCAGAAAAATCCCCTATATGATGACACCTCTGTTGCCACTTGAAGAGTTTGTACAAAGAAAGCTGAAGGGATTGGGAAATCTCCTTGTGATGTAGTCTCCATTCAGAGTAGACCTGGGGAAATTATTTAGAAAAGGAGGGAGGATATTAAATTAGAATCTTCTTACAGGTGTGTATGCTTGCTGGTGGCAAGAGGGGTGGAAATTTCTGATTAGCCTTGTGTACAGATAACATCATCCCTTACATGGTGTTCTTCAGGATATTCTGGGTGACAACCCCCAGAAATTCTCCCATAAATTGATTCTCCTTCCTGGCAATCCCTAAATCCTTCCCTTTTCCTGGCCTCCATGTGTGGGTTAATTGCCTTTTTTTTGTTTGTTTGTTTGTTTCCATAGTGCATAAAACATTCTCCACAATTTGAGTAGATTCACTGACCTAAAGTATTTCTGTTGGTGGTGGTCAAGGAATACCTTTGCCTTTCTACTTATGTAAGTCCAGTTGAGTTAAGTTCTTCTCATGTTCTCAAAATGTCCAGTATTTGTATCTGAAGCAATAAAAAATCATAATGTTGGGACACCTGGGTTGTTCAGTTGTTAAGTATCTGCCTTTGATTCAGGTAATGAATCCAGGGTCCCGGGTCGGGCTCCCTGCTCAGCAGGAAGCCTGCTTCTCCACCATCTCCCGCCCCCACTCCCCCTGCTGGGGTTCCCTCTCTTGCTCTCTCTCTCTCTCTCTCTCTCTCTCTCTGTGTTAAATAAATAAATAAAAATTTAAAAAAAGAGATGTCATAATGTCATGAATGCTGCCTACAGTAAATGTATCATCTTTCACATCAATTTTATCTTCCTTTGAGTATTCTTTGTGCTCTGTGTTTTAGGCAATTAGGGGACACTGATTACATTAAAGACAATTTGGGGTGCCTCACTCTATGATTTTTAGTTTTTAAATTTTTTTCACAATGAAGAATTCAGGTCAAATGGGCAGAGTGAGGGGAATTGCTGTGACTTAGAAATTAGTTTCCTTTCCAGAACCTCCTGGATCTTTTCATATTCTTTATCCTGCCACAAATTCCACATATTTGTAAGGGACTAGGAATTGAGCTAATGTCAAGGGCAGTCATTAGAGGGAGACATATTTTTTATTTTCCTGAAGAATTGATTTTCTGTGTGTTTTGGAAGCCACAAGTTAATGGGGGTGGGAGTGGGGGTGGGGGTTCCACTTAGAGTCAATCTCTCTGTCCCTGTCAGATGTCCTTCTGTTTCTTGGCACACTGTCATACCTCATGATGACAAGAGACTGTAGGAAGAGTGAGACAGGAAAAGCCCTGGCAATCTGGCAGCCACCTGGTACTATTAAACAGGTCTTGGTGTTGCCAGGAGCTGGTCTGTAGTTCACAGCCAGGTTCTGGTGTTTTCCTGGTGAACATAAACAATGTCATAGGACAGCAGTGTCTGACAGCCACTCAGTGACCATGACGGATCAAGACAGAGCACAAGGCCACTCAGTAATCATGCCTGAACACAGACAAAACACAAAGATTGTCAAAGCCACAAAAATGACCAAGTATCCCTCTTTCCTAGATGATATGATTGCCTTCTGCTTCATTACCAGTTAGAGCTTTAGCCTCAGTCTGGTCTCCCTTATTCTAGGTAAGATTTAGTAAGATGCCCAACTGTAGAATTATTCCATCCTATGTCTACTTCCTGACAATCCAACTAAGAGCAGAGTCCCTCTCTCTTAAATCCTCCTCAAAATCACCTAACAGAAGCCCAAACCCTATAGTAGTTAAACTGTCAGTTTTATGTGTTGGTTAGATTCTAGTCCTCAGTTAATCAATCAATTATTAATGGGGTGTGGCTCTGAAAATATTTTGGAGATGTGATTACAGTCCAAAATCACTTGATTAGGAAAGAGAGATCTTCCTAGATAATCTGGATGAGTCAGAACCAACCAGCTGTAAAGTCTTCAGAAGCAGATCTGTGGGTTCATGGGTGGCTCAGTGGGTTAAGCATCTGGCTCTTGATTGAAGATCAGGTCTTAATCTCAGGGTTGGTAATTTAAGCCCCATGTTGGGCTCCATGCCAGGTGTGGAGCCAATTAAAAAAAAAAAATGACCAGAGATGAGACTTCCCTGAGAGAGAAGAAATTGCACTGTGGGCTGTAGCATCTGCCTATGCCTGGAGTGAAGTCTGCCTTTCCTGATAATGGCCAGACTGTGGACCCAATAATTATTAATTAATAATTAATAATGTGGACCCCAGTGCACCCCATAATTATTAATTAATATTTCCTGCTAGTTCTGCTCTTTGGTTCCAACACCCTCTTACTGAGATGCCCGTGATTCTCCATGGTGAGTTTTCTCCCTCACCACAATGAACAATTAAACCAACTTTTTCATCCACAGGTGTGCTTCTGATGGTCTTTGGCTGGAGGCATCAACAGCAGCTCATCAGTGTGCTATGAGGAATATACATATGCTGCGCCTGAAATGAAAGATTCTTAGGGCTCCCACTATACCTGTAGTACACTAATATCATCCCCTGTTTTCAATGAGGATATTGAGTTTCAGAGAGGTAGAGGAATTTCCTCAGGGTCACACAGCTGGTGAGCACAGAGGTGAAATGTGACAAGGGTAGAAGCCATGAGTCTTTATAGAGGTTGGGAGTTTCCTGTGTGGATTCAGAATACAGAGTCCTAAGCTAATTAGGATAGCTATTTGACCCTATGGGTGGATTTAGTCTTCAAGTGTGTGTCATTATGGATGAAGAGGGATTCTGAGGTTCCACTGAAGCATGCTTCATTTACGATGCGGCATCCTTCTTTCAGTGCAGGAAATAACATGTTTCTCTGCTTTTCCTGGATCCAGACTTGAATGCTTTCTACTGTTAAAATCAGAAACAAATGGAGTCAGCCTAAAAAATACGCTAAACAGACAAAACCAGTGTAGTCATACAAACAAATCTTAATTTAGCTTATTTTGCAAGACTAATTGAACCGGTTCATTTCTTGCTTGTGCCTTTGGAAATGTCAAAGGAAGGTGAACTGTTTCTCATGGTTGATATGAGGTAACCACTGAAAACTGTAATATTATAGCCAATCCCTTTGAAGAATTAGCTATAACTGCTTTCTCATAATATAAGCAACTTTATAACAAGATATACTTGAACCTCCTTCCACCTTCTGGTTTAAATGCTTCTGGTTTGCAAACTGTCTTACTGGCATATGCACAATAAATTTTTACTAATTACCACTTCAGTGATTCATTGGTTTTACTTTGGCTGTTTTGAAACTTTGATATTTCCTTGCAAAAATTACTCAAGATTTTGACAAATGGACAAAACCTTTCTTGATAATACTCAGAATTTTACCTATTACTATTAATATAGTTTTTAAAGAAAATTCAACTCAAATTAGGAAATTAGGATGTCAGCCCTGTGGATCAGAATTTCATCTTGGATGGGAAGTTGAAGGTCCAGTGTCAGATCTCAAATCCTGGGAGACGTTGAAGTCCAATGAAGCCCATGTCATTAACTAAAAGAAGATGAGCTTTGTTTATAACCCGACTCTGTCTCACCTCCTCCTGCTGTCACCCAAGGAACCTGTTGTAGTCACTTCAGTCTTCAGGTCATAATTTTAACATAAGGTAAAATTAGTAGAGAATTGGATCCAAGAGAATGGTGTATCATTTTTGACAAAAATTAATTTGTTACTAACTGAAAAGTAAATGAAAGACTCTTTTTTATAAATTAATGGTAGAAAAAATTTTGGAGTTTAAAATATTACTTTGTCCAATAATTTTTTCAAAAGGCACTAATTTCCTCCTTTGATTTAACTTAAATTATTAATATAAATGAAATATGTCCTTATAAGTGACATCATTGGAAGCCCTCTAAGAAATTATTTAGGCAGAATGTAGGTTAGTTCTAATTAACATTTATAACATTTTCTAGGGACTAGTGTATTTTCAAATTCTTTAGTTCTGACTTTCAACTCCTTTGTCCTGTCCTAACCTTAGTTATTATGTGTTGGTGAAGTTTTACTAAAAAGGCCAAATCCTCTTCCATCTTGTAGACATGAGAGATGCTTCACAGTAATAACTGAGTCCAGAGAAGCAGAAGAAGGAAGAGGACAGACTTTGTAATTAAATAAGTAAGTGTTCAACACTGTATCACCTTGGGCAAGTCACTCAAAATATTTCAGCCTGAGTTAACTTTTCTATAAAAGGGGTTGAAAACCATTATGTGATAGTATATGATGAAATGAAATTATAAATAAGTACAAATTATAAGGTTTAAATATGGTCCGGTGCCTGGCACATGGCAATACTCATAAATGATAGCAACTCTATACTGACTAATATTAATGGCGCTAGGCCAGGGATGGCCCATAGCTTTTCCCTCATTCATCCAACCTTCTCCCTATGGCAGGGTGGGTTTGGAGAGCCTGTGAACCAGAGGAGCACTAAGAGATCACCAGGAAGTTGAACTTTTTTGTGAAGGATGTTGTCTCATCAGCTTTTTCTATACACAAATTACAATAAAATGTAATGATTTGAATAATGTTTTAGTATTTTCTCATGATTCTGAAAGATAGCAAATGGTGCCATGCCCATGTGGGCACTCTGTTCTGGGGCAGCTCAGGCAAGTCGCAGTACTAAGTCAATTTAAGAGGTGAGTTAACATTGCAGTTCTTAATACTATGAGCTGCAAAGAACTTATGACTATTTTTGCAATGTACCACAATGTTCTCTGGCTTCTGGATATAATAGAGCAATGAGTTTTGCATGTGAGAGTTGGAGTACTTCCTTATATGGCATGGATTCCACCCACTCACCTACTAAGTTTTACTTTCTCCCCATAACTTTCTCAAAGGAGATGTGAACTAAGAACAGTTGAATTCCAACATGCACAAGATATTTTGCTTTGTTCT